AAACCCACCCTTTGTACAATAAACTGTAAGCTACAATTAAGAACAAAAACAAGACAAATAGTTCTACCCGATAAAACCTTCTTACTCAAGAATGTTTTAAACGTAGTAATCCTATCAACCTTGAAGACTTCAATTTGATGAATAATTCTCCCTTGTTCTCTGCGTGAAGTGCTGACTTTCTTCCTCTGCCTCGTGCTCTTCTTATAGAGTTCCTTTTGCCTTCAGTCCTTATCAGATAAGGTAAGGAAGTTATTATTAAACAAGGATTCCCTTTTAAAGTACAATCCTTATTATATACAACTTCCTTCCTTAATAATATATTTAAGGTTTTCTTTATTTGTATCAACTTATACCTTTAATATATTATTTTTGGCTTTGACAAAAAACTCTATTTCTTGATTACTTGGCTGACCCATTTTACTCGATCTTGGATTCGATCTTGGCTTCTTTCGCTGTGTACATTTGCTATTGATTATTTGAGTTTCTTGTCTATCATCAAAACATGAATTATCGATTCTATCATATTCTATCAATTTTTACTACAGTAACCAAACTTTTAGTTCAGAATGTCGAAGTCTTAATCAGAATCTTTGTTTGGCTACTTGTTAAGCTTAAAATCTGAATCATTCTCGTTACGAAAAATCATGTTTTAGTCCTACTTGTTGCTTCCTTCTAGTCATTGATGGAAAATATGTTTGTTCTTTGATCTTTACTTTAGCTTAATATAGTTATAAAATCTATCTGTTATATTAGGATGGTGCTTGTTGGAGATAAACTTCGTGAAGTTTCTATGTTGATTCATTAGTCTAATTTAATACATTTTCTCTTGTTTTATTAAAATTCTGTATGCCTCAGGATATCCTTTCAATTCTCATATATAGATGATCATGCGCCTTAGTTTTTCGCCTTTTCTTGTTTATTTTAGTTTGCTTGATGTTCTGTCTGAATCTTTTGCTTCTTTCTCCTGTATTAATCGTTTTTATACAGTAATCTTTCTAAATCATCGAATGTTCCATCGACTTTAACAAGCATGTCCTATTAGTTATTGTGAAGAACAGATAGCCTTTGATAGTTATTTTTCAGTCATTAATTTTTTGACATGGTAAATTTTTCCTATAATTTGTTTACTTATCATTGATACAAATTATTCTTGGCTATTATTACCATCTATTTATAAGGTTACTGCTTAAGTGGATCATTAACGATGTGTCTTCATTATTTTGAATTGATTCTCATAACGTTTACATTTTTTTGCATAGACACAGTAGGGACAGGTATAGAAAGAAAGGCAAGAAAGCAAGAAGACATCTTCATCCCTAATAAGCCTTCCGTAGAAGATATTGCGGACTGGTTCGGGTTGGGGAAAGACTTTGCCTATTGCTGTCAACAATTCCAATTAGCATTCACAGATCTTTATATCCGATTTGGACATGCAAGATTCTACTCCACTTACAACCGAGAGTTCAAGGTTTCTTACAAAGAATGGAATGAAATCCGTCCTCTAGCATTTGTTGTAGCATTGATGAGAATGATGGTCTCCCACATGGCCCAAGTCTAAGCATCAATACCCGAGTCATAACACTCGTGCACACTCTATTAAAAGGGTACGAGAACCAAAGAACAACAAAGTACTATCCTATAGCCCCGGTCATCTTGTCTGACATGTATCGAGTCTTGGGAAAGTGTAAAAAGGAACATCGATACTTCCAAGGATGCAACCTACTCTTTCAGTGGTGGATTCTCAGCCACTTGGCAAAGGGTGCTGGGACACAGAAGCTACCCTTAAAGATTTGAATGACATGTTGTACTGGCGAATATGGACAATCCGAGAACAAGGGGGAGATAACTCAGATTTTCTCCGAATTGAGAGAATATCTCCAATGGATGCTTGACCGTTTCATCTCCAAAGAATTCGTCGTGGAGAGTCGCAGACAGATATACTTCCTCTACAAGGTATTTGGGGAATTCGCCCTTATGCACCCTTTCAAGTGTTGCGACAGCTTGGGAGGAGACAAATTGTACCCAAAGAGGCATACTATGGCGCTTATGTATACGATATTGGAGACGATAGAGTGCACGACGCGTCCCAAATATTCAGGGAATGGAAAAGCGTCAAACGGATGGATAAAACTACCATTGCCCTAAACCGATTAAATGCTGGATATGATGAAGGTTACAGAAAATGGTTGAAAA